TATGTGTGTGTGTGTGTGTGTGTGTGTGTGTGTATAAATTAGTTCTCCTCAATTCTATCATTTACAGATGGGATTTATAAATTATTGCTTTAATTTATACTATATTACACAGTTTTTCGTTTTAAAAAAATGAAAAATGGAAAATGAAAAAAAGCTAACTATTTACAATTCCTCTCTTCTCTTCCACTTAACATGCAAAAATACTTAAAATGTTTTAGTTGTTTAAAGAATGAAATACCCTTAAGTTTGACCCGAAAAGCAAACTAAATTTCTACTTGATCTGATTTAAGAACTTTTTCTTAGAATAAATTCTCCAGAGAGAGAGAGAGAGCTATTTCAAAAATATTTAAAATAGGATAGGATTTCGTAGAAGTATAAACAAAAGAAAACTTAAATAGATCTCATTACTATATATTGATAAAAATGCATGTGATTTCCTAGAAAAAACACCACAAACTAAACAATTTTTTAACAAATCGTTTTCCTAAAATTTTGTATTCTGTGAAAAAAAATACGTTAACAAAACTCTAAAAGGAATTCCTTGCGTGTCAATATTAGTTTTATATTATATTAATAATGTATAATGTAATGCATATCAAGATAAATTAAAAATTCCGAATAGGAAGAAGCATTGTTGAAAAATTGTTTCTGAGAAGTGCTTATTATTCAAACATATTTTATTTTCTTAGCCCTGAAACAAGACGTGTTGGCTTTTTTGTCAATAATAAAATTTACTCAAGTATTTCCGGAAGTGAAGATAACTAATATGGAAAAGAATAATCACATGAAGAAGATATACTTCCAAGAAGGGAAGGAAAAATTAGAGAATTGCAGCTAAGAATATCCTGTTTGGGAAGATTGCTTCATAGTATGATTCTTATGTTTCAGTTTGTAGCGTAATCACTTTTTATTAAATTTTCATGCTAATAGATCTGTATAAACTACAATAAATTATAAATTATAAAGCATACCTTACTTATGAAAATCTTTTTTGAAAATGTAGAACTGTGCTGTGTTATAAAGTCTTCAAGTCCTTAAAATAAAGAGTTGCTCTTTGGTTCACACAAGTAACATTTAATTTTTATTACCAAGAGTTGAATTAAATGATGCAACCCAAGCATGCTAGGATATATGAAAGTAATTTAGTTCATGGAATGTGTTCTGTTTATCAGTAATTATCACAAGAATCGCAGACAGAGTTTTGGGTTAAGATTTACATCCTAACTCTCTCTCAGTAAAACTAAAAAAAATTAGTATATGATAATACTTTTAAGAAAAGTATGGACTTTATTATGTTCCCTGCTGAAAAATATAATAGCTTAAAAGACAACGTAAAAGCAAACAGAAAACAATTTTCTAATGGTGCTAAGACGGGAGAGGTGACAATGGCAAAACACGTTTCAAAATATTTGATTACTAAAAGTTACAAAATTTGGTGATAAAATAGATGCTATCATAAAAACAAATGAGTTGTGGGTGATTATTTGATAACATGACTCTAGAAGTTCCAGTAGCATGCCTTTTTACCAAATATACAAACATAATGCACGAAAGGAATGCTAAAATGTTAAAATTTAATAAATATTTAAGAGTTTAATTTGTTTTATAAGTGGTATTAGGTTTAAGGAATATAATTGCTCTGTTCTATATTTGTGTGTTTTCGTGGATTTTAACTTAAGTGCTAGTAGAGAGAGAGAGAGAGAGAGAGATTCCACTTAGAAAAATATCTAATCTACATTAGAGAGTTTCAGAATAAGTCCACAAATTTATTCAAAGAGAATCTGCTTGTAGTTGTGTACATCCTTCACACAATTTAAAGCAGTTCATTTACGAAACAGTATGGAGAAGAACTGCATGCATAAAAGAAGAAAAATAATTAAATATTTAACTTTATTTTGTCGTTTTTGAGGAAGTTAAAATTTGCTTAAAATTCCTTCCATCTTTCTTACAATAGCTTGGAATATTTTTTCTGATAAAAATAACTATAAATGTAGAATTTTTCAGAAAACTTAATTTAACATGATTTAATTTGTTTTAGAATATTTTGAAACATTTTTAGGCCACAATACTCATAAAATGTTTTTTTTTCTTGTAATGTGTAAAATGTATTGGTGCTGAATATACACTGACGATCCAAAAAAATAAATAAATAAACTTGTACAGGCATGCGTATGCAGTATGCAAATAAAGAGATATGGAACCAATCAGAGTACGGCGCTGCGGTCGGCAAAAGCCTATATAAGACAATGAGTGTCTGACACGGTTGTTAGATATTTACTGCGGCTACAATGGCAGGTTATCTAGATTTAAGTGAATTTGAACGTTGTGTAAAATTCAGTGCACGAGAGATGGGACACAGCATCTCCAAATAGTGATGAAATTTGGATTTTCACGTACAACCATTTTAAGAATGTGCCATGAATTTCGTTAATCCAGTAAAACATCAAATCTACGACATCGCTGCGGCTGGAAAAAGACCATGCAAGAATGACAATTGACAAAGACCAATGACAATTGACGAGAAACATTAAGCGTGGCAGACACGTACCCCTTCCACAAATTGTTGTAGATTTTAGTGCTAGGTCATCGACAAGTGTCATCGTGCGAACCATTCAACGAAACATCATCAATATGGGCTTTCGGAGGTGAAGGCCCACTCGTGTACCCTTGTACCCAAACTTCAGGATCTTACCAATTTAGGATTCAGCCAATAACCAACGATGAATCATGAGCTCATTTCTTTTTATGATGCCCGATGGGATGACACATGCTACTTTTCATGTACTTATGACAGCGCTTCTCAAACTTTCAATACTTGTGACTCAATATTTAATCATAATTTTCATCGCACCCCTCTTCCATACAATAATAATGTTTTGAATTCATTAATGCTATACTTTTACTCTAAGGCTACAACACTACTTTAACTTTTTAAGTGACACAGCCTCATATAAACGTCTCGCTCAGCCAAAGCATTAAGTGCCCTGGACGCATATGTACGTCTTTCCAAAGCATCCTTTTTCTATCCATTTCCGTCCATAAAGTTATTCAGAAGGATTTGGAATACATTAAAAACACCTTGACAGTGTTTGCGAAGGAATCAGTTATTTCAGAGGATTTGCTTATGTATTCCTTCTCTCCCCCTCCCGCATAACCCGCGGTCACTCGCGCCTGTTTTTGCTACCTTCGTTACTCACGGGGTGTAGAGAACACCCCAAACTTTTAACACGTGTATTTAATTATAAAAATAAAAATTAAATCATTATGATACATATTTATAAAGTACAAGATGTGTTTTGTATTATACAAATAAAATTATTTAATTTATTGCACACAAATGAGACTAACATTAATTTAAACTAAACATACAGAATTTGCTCATTTTAAAACCACATAATTTTATATTTTTCATAAACCAGTATAAAACGTATATGCCAGTAATAAATATACTTTATAATTAATGAGATAATGATAGTTGAAAGTAGAAAAATAATATTTTAATCATTTTCCAAACTTTCAGAGCGGGCTAATATGTCTAAATGCTCCAACTTCTCGCGGGAGTTCCTCAGCCCTCAGATAAACTTTTCAAGGTCATTACATTCAATCGTTCCTTAAGAGGGATTGCATCACGCCTGAAGGTTCAATGATGACCTAAAATGTGCAGCTACAGAAAAAATCTGGTTCTGCATTCTTTTTAGAAATCTGGGAGGATTTTCTTGTTGCTGGGGTGTACAGAACACCCCGCGCGAGTGATCGCGGGATAATAATACAATACATACGCGCGCCTGCATGGAAAATGATGGCATTAAACTTGTTCCTAACTTGCAATTGTTAAATTAATTATAAAATACAATGTGCAGTGCTGATACATTTATAAGTGTATTATATCAGATTAAATGTGTATTTTATTTTTTATTATGTCAGAATGAATTTTGTTTGTTTAATTTATGTGCATTAATATTTTTTTTTAAAAAAAATAACCTTTTGCTTTTGACTTTTCAATTGTTCGCGTGTCTCTAGTAGATTTACACGCCCCCTCCCCAGAGAGGCACACCCCACAGTCTGAGAAACACTGACTTATGATCTACACTTTGTCTAGTGAATGTAAACTTTAGATTCATTTTATAATTTATATCGATTTGAATTCTTTTGTAAGGAGAATTTTTGATGCATTTTTTATATAATACTGTATATTCCGAAATCTTCAAACCAATTTTTGATAAATGGCACTAAGACATGTCTAAATATTTCAGAACTATATTGAAAGTAAAGGAACATGCGTATATTCTAAAAGGCGATACTTCTGAAATATTTGAAGAAAAGTTTGGTTACAAAACTTTGAGTTTTGTCAGGTTTATACGCTTTGATGTATTAATCGAAAAAAGAGTGCACTTTAACTGCGAATGATTTTCTTTTACAGCAAATGAAAAATTATCACTCAAGTTGTCATTAAAATGTATGCTGTTAATGGCAAAGCTATCATGACTCACAGAGCTATGCAGACGTGGTTTGCTAGGTTGAAAGCTATAACTTATAACTCTGAAGATGAAAATCGTTTGAGTAGGATATCCACCAGAGATGTAAATCCGATTAAAATACTGATCAAAAGTAATGTTAAACATAACAAAATCCACATATCATAAACTTTTTGTGAAACTTGTCAACATAAAATGTTTAAGGATATGGGTTGCCTGCAATTTAAAGGTGAAATATCGCATTTTTTTATTCCTGCAATTAGTCCACTCTATCTCGCTCTATTTATTTATTTATTCATTTATTTATGCAAATATATCTTGTTAAAATTTTTACTCATTAATAAAATACTTTCTGATCATCCCTTCAAGTTCAAATACATTTTTTTAAACTTGTAGTGGATGACTGAATGTTGATACAGTTTTTTTTTCAAAAGTTAATTCATTAATTCAATTAAAAATGAATAAATAGTAACAGACAAAAGTGATAGTCCAACAACATATATGAAAAGGAAAATTGTTCGTTGTGTCCCTGTAGCGCAATGGAGGGTGCGTTGGATTTCTAATCCAAAAGGTTGTGGGTTCAAATCCCACCTGGGATGGACTAATTTCTGAGAATGCGATTTCTTTTTTACTATACTATTGTATTAGAATACTTAAATTTAATTAATGAATAAATAGTAACAAGCAAAAAAAAAAATAGTCCAACACCCTATCTAGAAAGGAAAATAAAAAATTGCAAGAGAATCGCTTTCTGTTTTGTCACTTAACGTTGTAATTCTGTTATATGTATATACATATTTATATTAACTGAAACTTTTTAAAAAAAAAAGTAACTAAAATAAAATTTTTCTTTGTTGACCGAAGTAGGAATTGACTTAATTTTTTTTTAATAATTTACATTCATAACTTGGTATATAAAAATAAAAGAGGAAACAACCTTTTCGGAGCAAGTAGTGACATGGGATGAAAAACAGATAATTTATGATTATGACCAGAGCAAACAATCTTGTGAAAAACTGAGTAATTTTTTGCCACCATCCAATATCGATCTTAATCCGTAGAGCATGCACTTTATTTGGTAGGATTCAAAAGAAGTCCTGCATTAAAAGCTATTATTAAACATATAAACGAAAAATTCGAAATTGAATTGCTCCCAAATAAATTAATTCGATGTCGCAATTGAACAAAAATGTTGAGAAATAGCAAATTGTAATGTTGTGTTTCATCCGGGCAATGCAAGGCCTCATGTGGCTTTGGCAATTCGATAAAACTTGTTATAACTCAGTTGGAATGTTCTACCCCACCATTACAGTCAACTGAAAATGCCCTCAGATTTTCACCTATATTTTTATCATTACAAAATTCTGTTAAAAAAATAAACTTCAACTCTGTACTTCTTTTTTATGTAAAGAGTTTACCCTCAGACACTTTCCATTACGATACAGTTAGAAAAAATCGTTTTCACTTTCATTATGCAAATGTTTCTTTTTTTTTTATGTTTTTTTAACTTATAAGTAAGCCTATCTCTGATGCATTCTCTTAAAAATATATTTTTATTTTTTCTAAAACATTTACCTAAAAATATGCAGAACGAAAGGCAGAAATAAAAATTGTACTGGAAAAGTATTCACTTAAACTGGTTTCCCTTCGTGTTTACTATTCAGAATCTAAAGGTTATCACAGAGGATATATATTTCGTTTTCCATTCCCTATTAAAATAATATAAAATTGTACTTATTAAACCACGCGCTTATCATTTAAGAAATTTTTCTTCACATTCTAGAATAATTTGTAATTTAATATATTCCACAACTGATTTTTAATTTATTACATGCCGTTCTATCTAAAAAGCTACTTCAAGATTTCATTATAAATAATAAAATGTCCGAGTCTCAAGAATAAAGTAAACTAATAATGCTTTATATTCCAATAGACGAGGAAACACTACATAGAAATCATGCATAAGTTAAACATATATTATTACTTTATGTGTATAAGAAATGAATAAATGGAAAGATTGAAAGCCTTAAAAGGGTATTTTATTTGTTGAAATGTTTCCTAAGAACAAACGAGTGCTGAGTAAATATTTCAAACACACACACACATTAAATATTTTTTAAAGTTTAAGACCTTCTGTGCTGGGTCTTCAAACTCAAAGGCAGTTTAGTTAGTGTATATTTTTACTGTCTAATAGGGCATTTTATGAAAATATAAGCTTAAAATAAGATTTTGCGCAAAACTTGATAACTGAAAAGAAAATAAATATATTGATTTGAAAAAGTTGAATAATACAGAATACAACCTTATATACGGAATAGACAATTATTTTCGCAATATAGCCCTTGCTTGGCAAGCTATGATGTTTTGAGTTTCTGAACACTGATATTTTCTTTAAAAGACATTGTAATTTTCACTTTATTGCTACGTTAAAAAAAACCACTTCTACTCAACATAAAATCTCTTGAATAGTCGTTTTCTGTATAAGTATTTCAAAACATTTGGTTAAAGTTTCAGGCTCATTGGTGAACAATATTTTGAGATTTTGTGTTTTGCGATAATTATATATAAAAGTGTAAAAAAGAAACTCATTTTGAGAAAATGGCAAAAATAAGGGTATACTATTCAGTTTACATGAAAAACACTTACTTCTTTATTAAAATGCACCAGACTTGAAATGCTCACTATATTTACCTACAATGCACTTTTTTTCTGTTTAACAACTTTTAATTTACTTGAGTGTTACCTTGAGCTTGGGTCTGCATATTACGTTCTGATTTGGGAATTCTACCCTTACATAAATATTTATCTCCCCGTGAGGTAAACCATTATTTTTCCATTATTCATCTTAATAAAAAATTTTAAACCCCCATTGCACCCTTCGTTTAACTGAGTAACAACATCATAAGACCTACATTTAATAGTTAAGCGTGAAACAAATACCACTTTGGGTATTCTTTGCCGACATATTTCATTAAAACATTCATTTGCATTCTACGTGCATCCATGCAAACATTTACTCGAAGTACCTTTCTCGCACAATTTTAAATATATTGGTTTAATTTTACTTAAAGCTTTATTTGATAAAGCAGCATATTTTTTCGAGTACTGTTATTTCCCGAAAAGTTTTGAAATCTATTGCCAAAGAACTGACAATTACGTATAACATTTCATATTAAATACCAAGAAATAGAAATGTAAGCATACAATTTAAATCATTTCCGATCAGAAAAAGAGCTCTTTCTGTCAGAGACATTCAGCATCAAGTAATATAAAAACAGCTGTAAATTACCTTCTAAATAAGATAGAAACAAAATTCAAACACATTTTCAAAGGTTTAACATGAGTTTTAAAATGAGATGTAAAATAAAAAAGAGGGGTGTTAAATGACCACACGAAAAAAAGTATTTAAATTCAAATTTTTAAAAGTTATTTCAGGGATTAGTTAGGTAAAAACAAGGATATTAGTATTTTTTCCTATAAAACTATTTGTTCTATGTCTTTTACCCATACAGTAATATTTTTTGGGAAATATACAATCATATTTGTGAATTACTTGTATTTTAAGAAGGAAGCAATAGGTTGATGGTAGCTGAAAAAGGTTATAAATACTTTAGATTCAAAATTATTTAAATATCTAAAAAAAACTCCGGCAAGCGTTGTTCCATACTTTTGTCGTGCTTTCATTTGGATCATTTGACATTATTGAATTAAATTTTGATTTTGAAAAATCAACTAAAAAGGGTTTGGGGGTTTTTTTTTTGAAAAATCTACATTAAAATCCCAACTTAAAATTATAGGCAATTTGTTCAGAAGAGTTCATCCGGCTTCACACACACACAGTGTGGACAACAAAATTTTTGTCAATGAATTCGATAATTTTCTCTACACTTTGATTTGGTGAAATATAAATAGTAACCACACACATTAGAGTTATTTGTTCATTTTCTGCTCTACATTTCGCTACACAAATTTCTCCGATACATGACTCATAAAACCCAAATGATTCAGTAGTATTGTTACGAATAGTATTGTTACCATTCAGAAGTATTGTTTCCATTGTTACGAGAATTACAAACCCGAGTGTAACAATGCTTGGCTTTTTAAAACGCATCATTCAAGTTCACTCCCCATCTCAATAGTTAAATTTTTTCTACCGAGTCAGGCATGGCTTATTAGAACAACAGCTCTCTCATCCAATAGTAACCCCATCCAATAGGTCTGTTGCAAGTCGCGAAACCAAGTCTGTCTGATTGCTTCCCATTGGGTCCTGCCTTTATTTGTCAAGCCTATCTCCCAACCAGGACTGCAGTACCAAGCCCAGTCTAGTCCCAAATATAGAACGGAGGAGTCTTCCAAGAGATTCCAGCTTCCAGTCAAGTCTAAACGGTCCGCCCCAAAAATTAAATTCATTTTAAAAATTTTTAAATTTAACGAAAGTTTATGCAATAATACTTATGTGGGAATATTTTTTTATCTTTGTACGTTTGAAAAGTTACATCATCTTCTTTTCCCTTAAAAAAATATTGCATCATTTTTTAAGAATTGATTTTCAACTTTTTTTTTAAAAAAAATAATATTTTACATATATAATGCTTGACATGAATTCTTTTTTTTTCGTAAAAGTAAATGTGCATTACGTACTGTTTCATAGCGTCAAAAAGGGGATGCATTAACATTTTTTAAAATTTTTTCATTTTTTTGTATAATACTTTTGTTTATATTTAAGAGATATTAAGATTGCACAATGTTCGAACAACTGTTGTACATCATTTGATTTTTTTTTCAACAATACTCTACCGCAGAGTTTTCCGAAACGTTTTTTGTCTGATAAACCCCTTGCCATGTTTTTCGGTTTGGGGTAGACCCTTTCTTAATTAATGTTAAATTTTTGCATATTTATCAACTTAAATGTCTTTTTGACAGCTGGTAATCAACTATTTTTAAATTTTCCCAAAATTTCAAATTTCAAATTTTTTCAATGAAGTATAGTTTTTTAAAAATTTAATAAGAACATGTTAATTAAATTGAAATTTAAATTTAAAAAATAAAATTTTTAAAATGAAGAAAATAAACAATAAACAAATGATTTTAATGGATGGGATGAATCTAGTGCTACAATAAAAATTTTTTAACATTTAGTTTTTCAATCTTGTCGGGTTTTAAACCCTTTAAATATCTGCTCTGTTATTATTGCCCATTTTTTTTCTTTCTTTTTTTTTTTGTTTTCGGAAATTGGCAACCACTCAGGGGGGCCAAATAACCCCTTTTTATTTTTTTAAACCCAAATTGCGGCATCGGTTTCTAAACATTAAGGTCTTCATTGGTACTTATTACGATCAGTTTCTGTAGTAATGTGATTTTTTTTTAAAGTCACCATATGAATGCTTACCACCTTTTATTACCCATAGTCAAAGTATTCTCAAAACTGATTTCAAAATCTGAATAAAAGGTATTTAAATTTTCCCGTAGGGAAAGACGTCCTGATAAAATTCGGGACTTCCAGTATTATATTTCTTTAGTTTAATTCTGGAAATATACGTTGAAATGTTTCTTGTGTTAATAAAATTTATGCTATCACCTTCTAAAATGCTAATTAAAC